ACTAACAAACCAGCTGTATCAATGATCTTGGCAAACAACTCCACAGAGGTTAAATAGCTGACTTTCCCTACCAGTCAGCCAGAACTGAAGAAGTCGCTTGGATGAAGGACAAAACGTCTTCTAGTATCTTCAACCAAGTCCAGTTTCCTTGATTTTAACCTTCCTTGGATAACTATGACCTGGATCACTGAGAACCTTCACATGCACTAGATAAGCCTTCTTTTTAGTCCAGCCCATTGTCTTTTGCTATGTCATAATGCTTATTGTAAAATGGGGAATACTGCTGAAAGAAAAGTCTAAGCTTTACGACAAGGTTAGTCAATGAAATAGTTTTTTCATTGTGAAACATTGTGAATTACTGCAACCACAAAGAGGTCTTTGAACATACAGCCATAAATGTGCACAGAAAATATTAGGCTGATGGGTTCAGGAGTATGGAAGATTAGTTTGGACAGATAGGCCTACACATGCACACACAAACACACGACCAAACAGGCTACAACTACTGGAGATAACAAATTGGCTTTATAGTTGGCTTTATACATAAAATTACTCTACGCTGATCTGCTGCTGTATAATGTGTCCACAATTAATCTACTTACCACTTCCTGTTTTGCTATCCAGCACCTCAACCATGTTTATTTATCAGCTGCAGAGCTGAGAGGGTGATTAATTATTCAGGTTATTTTATAAGCAGACTGACATTGCATTAGTATTCAATCAGCAGGAAAGGGATACTAACAAAGAGATTATATGTGTAAACAGCAACGTGTAGTCCAGTATCACCTTCAGAAATGACATCTAATGACTAGTAAAGAAAAGTAAAAATATATGGGGCCATAGCCTTATTAGTTTTGAAATTAAAGCTTAAATGATCATGTGTGTTAGCTGTATGTTCACCCTGAGCAAACAGACACATACTGTAATAGTCTGCTGTCAGTGGTCTGTTCTGTAAAACAGTTTGAGCTTCTTGTTAAGATGCTTTCACAATATATCCCTTTATTGGAATCATAATTCCATTAATTAGTCTCTCACATCACTTAAAATCGTTTATAATGCCTCAGTAGTGGAAAGTACATTTACTTATTTACTTTAATTAGTGGAGTATGGAGGTACTTGTACTTTCTATTTTATACTTTATACCACTACATGTTAGAAGGAAATGGTGAACTTTTTAACCACCGCTGCATTTGACTGACAACTATAGTTATATTCACTTTGAAGGCAGAGATTTTACAGACAAAACATGAGTCCCGTTTGAACTCAAAAGTCAATGTTGGCTTATTAAACCATGATCTTTTCTGAAACCTAAGCAAGTAGTATTTGTGCCTAAACCTAACCAAACTTTACAAAATCTTTAACCAAGTGTTTAACGTCACATAACTTAAGTAACATACTAACATAAGGTCCGGTAAGCTTGTGAAGCACTTCCCCTTAGGCGGTTTTACCATTGAGCAAAGGTAGGCAATTGACCGGGGCCTCGGACACCAGGGGGCCTCACGATTTCAACCTCATTTTCAAAGTCTCCTCCAGTGTGTGTTGCTGCTGATAAGCAGCACACTGGCCGTCCCAGGACGCACCGACTGTCACGGACTGGGCCTCTTCCGGACTGGTGAGCTTGGTTTGAAACACCGCCACAGATTTTCCCTGCGCTGACTGGGCTGTGTGTGAGTATGTGACACAGGTGTGTGCGCCGATCACCACTATACGCTCACTTTATGTGTCTTTCTTCTGCATTTTCCCTGTCCAACAAAATGGCGAATAGCCTGACAATTTAACCCACCACCACTGCCAAAATTTACCCACATTTGGCGGGTGTTCATTTCATTCCCTACACACAACGGAATAGCCTACAATAAATTCACTCACGTAATTTAGGTAAATGCTGCACTCCAAAGCACCGGCCAGACTACGGGAGGTAACTCCGGTGCTGACGGAGAATCACTTGTCTATTAGACGCGAAAGCCGTCACTTGGTTTAATTTTCATTGGCCAACTCCTGTATTGACACTTAATATTTTTTTATGTTTCCTTGCTGGGATCCAGAAGAGGAGGTTTTTGTTGAGATATGGTCTCTGTGGAGATTGTAATGTGATACTTCTCCTCTGCTCATCAGGCAACCCATTTTATGGCTGACATGCCATAAAATAATAATAGTAATAATTTATTTTGATCATGCTTCTTCAGTATTAAGTAAGGTGGTGAGAACCTGCATAAACGTCCTGTCATAAACGGAGTGCAGTTTGTGACGCTGCTAAAATGTCTGCAGTGTGGAAATATTTTAAATAGGAAAATTCATTCAGGGTCCAGTGGCGTCTTCTTACTCAGTTTCACCCAGTGTTGGCGGTATAAGGCCTGTTATCTCACCTCCGAAGGCTCGCTCTTAACCACCGGGGATTTACTTTGGGACCATCAATAAATTCTTCTCTGCAACAGATTGGCAGGTCCTAACTTTAACTAACCTTAACCAACTTAACAAAAGGAGGCAACAGGTGCTAGCCAATCAGAGGAAGAGTTGTCAAAAATCTGGTGAGAATCAATGGCAATCGACTTATTCTGTCATTTAGGTATGATGACATGTTGCAGCCTGCGTTCTAGGTTTTATTACACTTTAGTAATTATTAAAGGTGCACATTAGTTGTCTTGTAGACAAACAAAAGTTATGTTTACATTCAGTCAGGAAAATGCAATATCTGTATGCTTCATCTCTAACGGATGTGTTTAACTTCCTCATTAAATGTTTGCAAAGCTGATTTTCACTGTTGCCACCTGTTGGTCAGTGAAATAGTGTGAAACCACTGGCAGGAATGTGTATCGCGAGGTAAACAAAACGTGGACCCACTCATGGAAAACTAGCTCCATAGCTTTTGACTAGTGGTCAAAAACTCCACAGGGAACTTTTAATTCAATAACAGGTATATCGCCACCTTCCAATTTCCTCTCTCCTCATGACCCGTCCTACTGTCTTGCTCGTTCTATTTTTTCTATCTTACCTTGTGATAATTATAAAATGGTGAAGGGCAGAATGGTAGAGGAATAAAGAAATATAAGGTAGGCTGTGGTAGACATTCATACTCAGCCATACACACACACACACACACACACACACACACATTGGTGTGCTTTCCTCAGGCAGCCTCTTCCAGCTTCTGTTTCAGTATCTTCTGGGAGCCCTGTAGCATAACAAAGCTGGATTAGATCTCCTTTTCTTCAATGTGTATGGTTATATTCGCTCCGGTAAGTGTATGTTTTTTTATTATGGATATAGCTTTTCAACAAACACCATGGCTAGTTTTTCAATATGTGATCATTCTGCCTGATCTTTGTGTCATCAAATTGTTATTATGGCATTAGAAATCAAATTGTTACCTAACAATGATTGTTACAACGTTTTACATCCTGTAATGCAAGCTAAGCTGTGAGGTCTACAATACATCCATAAGGTTTAAGAATGGATTCTATTTAACTGTAATCCCTTATATCCCTCTCTACCAGATTGCTAATGCAGTTTTATCTGTTAGATTACATTTTATTATATACATTTCATTATTTTGGGAATATGCTTTATTCTTAGACTCTTTTTCTGTTGCTGCTGTGTCAAAGTGTGCACACCCTACAAGGTATTCAGCTTCCCTTTTGTTCCTACTATTCCTTGTATTGTAAGGGCAATTTAAATAAGGGAAATGCTTGAAGAAGAATGTGAACATCTTTTTAAAAAAATAAGTGTTGTGTTTAAGTCATCAGGTGCCAGTGGCGGGAGCACAAATTGTGATTTCTTCCTTGTGACTACATGACTCTGTCTGTCCTAATTCAGCTCAGCCCGCACACTCACTGCAGCTATTGTGGTCCATGTGCTGATGTGGCCAAAATGCTATCAGCTGGCATTAAATTGGCTTCACGGCAGTGAAAATGTTGAGACGTCCATATTCAAAATGTTCCAATGGTGAAACAGCTGATACTCAACATTCACTAGTTGGGCTTGTTAATAGAAATTCATTCCAGTGACTGTTTTAATGTTTGCTGTGGCTTAATTTCGAGCTGCAAAACTTTATATTCTTAAAGCTGTAGTATTTGTGAATTAATATATTGTTAAAGCTGCAATAAAAAGTATTTTACAATAACATTGGGTAGAAAGGTGTCGCACCTCACTGTTTTGTTTTTCGGCCCACAACTTTACTGTTTAGGTTCACTCCAACCACTCTTATGCAACAAGCAGCTGTTTTCAACAAGCAAGCTCTAATAAACCCTACCTGTCCAAATCTCCAAACAGCAGACAGACAAAGTTAGCAACTGGCTTGAGAACTTGTTGAAACATTTTTCATCTAAACAGCCAGACACTTCCCTCAGAGTTTGTGAGGACCAAAACAGATCTAAAAGAAGACTGAATATTGCACTCATTTTTGTCAGGTGGCTGGTGCATTATCCAAGTTTAGGAGTGGCTGATTCACATAAGCAGCAAACTTCAACACAACCTTCTACAACAAGTCAGCCATCTTTGTTGCAGTCCGTACATCATTTCAGTTACCTGTCACTAATGCTAGTGTTACAGGTTTCAGCTTTAAATTGGGCTTAAAGTCACAAAACAGCATGCAAAATAAAAACAGAAGCATCAAAGCTATTATAGTATATCATGCAAAAGGTTTACCTCGGCACCAGAACATTGGATTTGCGTGAAAGTGATACAGACCTGTTGTTGCATTGTTAGATATGAGATATAATTAAGAATACTTGTCAAACAGTGTGTCTAGTACAAACCACTGTAATAAAAACGGTGATATGTTAACATAATTGTATACTGTGTGTTCTCATCTGGGATTCTGGGACTGTATTACTCACCCAGTAGCAACTGCTTGTGACTGTGTGTTGTGTGTTTACATGTGCATATAGTTTTTGGTCAGAATTATGTGGCAATATAACTTTGCCTTTAGTCATTTGTTGCCTTAATTCAAATAAGCTGTAATGCCCTTTCATTGATTTTTGTTATTTTCTGTCTTTGTGCAGCTCTTTGCCATTTTTGCGTTTGCAACATGTGGGGGCTACTCTGGGCAGCTGCGGGTTAGTGTGGACTGCATGGAGAAGGCCAGCAGCAACCTCAGCATCGGCATCGATTTTGCGTATCCTTTCAGGTGAGTGGGCTTCATTCAGTGTCTTAAAGGTACAGTGTGTAATTTTAGTGGCATCTAGTGGTGAGGGCTGCGAATTGCAACCAATGGCTCTATGTGCATTCATGTGTTCCCAGTATTATTATTATTATTATAATTATTATTATTATTATCATATGTAGCATATTTTGCTACAATTACGCTTCACACAACAGCTGCGGCTGTGTTTGCGAGCTGACCTCTCTTTTTCTGTGAGAGGGAAGAATTTGGAAAGTTGCGTGGCGTTGCGGAGAGCCCCAAGTTGCGCTAGTGCATGGACCCTGCATAATATTCATCCAGCCAGAGGGAACGATCACAGTGTGCCAGTTGTACTAGCGACACAATCCGTACCGGAGAGGGAGTGGGGTGGACCAGGGACAGAAGATCGCGGAGCGATTGGCCCGCTGCGGACGGTTGATGATCGCTCCCTCTGGCTGGATGAAGTCTGACGCTCTGCAACATGGCTTCTATGTAACTGGAATCACGGAGTTTGTAGATAGAAATGGCTAATTTTAAGGTGCTAAAAGCATAACGGTTCATTATGGATCTTTATACATCACTGAAAATATAGTTATCTATCATATATATCATATATATTGTATTTCTGTCAATAGATTCTCCTTAATATTACACACAGGACCTTTAAAGTTTTATACCAGAAATATGAACCTGATGCTAACACAGTGGCACTGGGACTTTGTCTTTTGTTTGTCTTTCCACCTAAATAACCATTCACATAGGCAGGGTGTGTAGATCTCCACATGGACAACTAATTGTTTTATGTGACTTCAACAGAAAAAAAATGTGATTTCTTTTCTTAATTTCACTGTACAATGAAATGTTCTCATTGCCTTACGTTAGAGTTATGGACAATGCAATATTAACCCAGAAATCTGCAGAAAGATTTTTCCTTTTTGTAAAAATTATGCTTCAGACAAAATTGTTCATATATATACAATTCCCCATTGTACCATTGTGTCCCTGAGAAAACACTTAACCCCTAGTTGCTCCAGAGGCGTGCGACCTCTGACATGTATAGCAATTGTAAGCCACTTTGGATAAAAGCTTCAGCTAAATGAAAAAATGTAATGTAATCTAATATTTGACAACAATGTAGTTACTTTTAGACTGGCAACATATTGTAGCCTGATGTCCAGAGGTTTCAGTGACATGTTGTAGGAAGATATTGAATTTAAAGTGTGTAGGTGGGTGGGGGATTATTTCTTAAAAGCAACAGGTAAAACTGAAACTATCTGTATTGCCAGACCTCACTTAGGGTAAATAAATATATCTTATTTTTTCTAATTTGGGTGTAGTGACTTAGTTCACTGAGATTAAGAGGTATTCAGTAAATGTAACTTGCAATGGATATAATTCCTTTCAGCTGCAAATTAAATGATGAACTTACTGGTATCATCTGCAAATATACTGTTACTATAATTGCATACGGTCTTTACCAACTTTTTTGACATTTAGATCCAATATACTAAAAGTCACAGAATCACATCCTGACAATTAAACGAACCACCTGGTTATTTTTTGCAGTAAGTTTTTCTTTTACAATGCTTCCGTTTTCCTTGTCATGCCAAGAGAAAAGAGCCCCAAAAATAAGATTGTACTAACTGATATAAGGTGTTAGAGGTGTTAGTTTAGAGTTCCTGAACAGTCAGGCTAAAGTTAAAGACACTGTGTAGTGAGCATGATTTGACCCCCACACCTTCCTCTCTGTGTGTCAGGTTGCACCAGGTGTCCTTTGAAGCGCCCGTGTGTGAGGGCATTAGGAGGGAGCGCGTATTCCTCATTGGAGACTATTCATCCTCTGCAGAGTTCTTCGTCACCATCGCGGTCTTTGCCTTCCTGTATTCCCTCATGGCCACCATTGTCTACATCTTCTTTCAGAACAAGTACCGTGAAAACAACCGAGGACCGCTCATTGTAAGTACAGTGGAGTCAGGCCAAGAACATATTTTTTAGTTTTATTAGTATTTTATTTTATTAGTTTTATATATTATATAATTTTACCCTTAAATTCCCAATTAATAATGTTCCTTATTTGACATCTTATAAGGACTCTGCCAAAGTAATCATAGTGCTAGACATAACTGTACAAAGCAAGTACTATCGTTCAACCACTACTTTCACAAAGTAGTGACAAAGTAATGAAATGTTGTTTTCTTGAGCTTCATTTTTCCATACCCTGTCTCTTCTCTCTTTCATGTCCTCAGGACTTTATAGTGACAGTGGTGTTCTCCTTCCTGTGGCTGGTCAGTTCCTCTGCTTGGGCCAAGGCCCTGTCTGATGTGAAAGTGGCCACTGATCCAGATGAGGTGCAGCTCCTAATCTCTGCCTGCAAAGTCCAGACCAACAAGTGTGACTCTCTGCATGGACCACGCTGGTCCGGGCTCAACACTTCAGTGGTAGGTTCACAGGATGTGAGTCCCACAAAAACTGGGAATAAATAAATAAATAATGCTATAAAATTGTGCTCACTGCTGAAAATTTTTGTTCAGTCGCTATTAAAATGTAAGTTGAAGTTTTTAAGGGTAAGCACTGAATGACGTCGAAGTATCAGTTAAAGGTTCAGTGTGTAAGATTTAGTGGCATCTAGTGGTGAGGTTGTGACTTGCTACCAACTTTCCAGTCTACCACTGCCCCCTAACCCTTCAAAGAGCGCAGGACAGCTACGTTGGCTGACACAGCACAAAAGGTGTCTCTTCTGAGACAGCAGAGAGTAGCCAGTCTAGAAAAGGTTTCTTTAGGTATATTTATTAAGAAAATATATTTACTTAATTTAGTAAAACTATAGGTTAATGTGACTTGGCCACTGACAGACAACATGGAATATGTAAGCCATGAGTGTGTAACACTGTCACTATTTCTGCACCACAATCCATTTTAAACAACACATTAGATAAAGTTTATACAAACATTGACAAGGAAACTCTCTGTGATTATGGACCCTCACCAAAACTGACCACCAACAATAATATCTGACCCGCGGTCAGATTATGGTGCTTTGATAGTGGTAAAAAATATAATTAAATAAATACTTTGATAGCGATGCTGAAATAGATCTCAGTCATGACAGCAACAGTTACTCACTTAATCACTTCCTCTTTAGTGGTTTTACCTACAAAATAAAAGCATGAGAAGTTTGTTTACTGTAATGCTGTAGTAGGAGTTGAACTGAGCTTTTACTTTGAAAAATTCTGAACAACATTAAAAGAGTCTGCTGCCTGCTTGACACACCTCTGAAAGAGCTGTCAAAAAACATGATTCCCCTAAATGTCCTCTGCCTGGAGATTCTGGGAAAATGATAAAGCATTCATAGGTTCTTCTTCTAACGTACGTATTCAACATAGTGATGAGTGTCTACACTGCCTGAATTCTACCAGAAGTAGAACAAGAAGAATGTAGTGATGAAATGCGCTCTGTAGCACTGTAGCGTTTTCAGCTACTGTAGAAACATGATGACGCAACGTGGTGAGGTCCATGGAAGGGGGGACCCGCGGTTATGTAGATATTTATTGCTCATTCTAAGGTAATAAATACATAATGGTTCATTATGGAAGGTCTTTACACACCACTGAAAACACAGTTATGGATCTTATATTGCATTTCTGTCAGTAAATATACACCTTTAAAGCACTGAAAGGAGTTGAAAGGACAATTGAGGAGAAAGAAATGAATGCAGTTAAAATGCCGGTGAATGCAGCTGAAGTGAAAGCAGTTGAACTGTCAGGTGAAGTTGAAGTTGAGGGAGTATGAAGAGGTTGAGGAGGAGTTGAAAAAGTCTAAAGATTCTTTTAAATACATTTAAATATAGATAGGGTTGTTTGTTTAAGCATTCCTAAAGGAGCTGAATATTTTGAGGTTTGGGTGTCAAACTGATCAGTGGAAGGGTCAGTGTTTGTACGTGTAGAGTCAAGTTAGCAAGAATAAGTATAACATCAACCACTAGTTTTATTTTTAAAGTATGTTATTCTTGCTAACTTGACATACTTTAAAAATAAAACTAGTGGTTACTGTGAAACTTAGCAGTTTGTTTAGGTTTAGACACCAGTTTAATAATACAAAAATATTTGTACACATTGCTTACTAGCATTTCTCATTTGCCTCTTGTTTAATATCGCTTTGTCTCATATTCTTTCTCTTCAGGTTTTTGGGTTTCTCAACTTTGTCCTATGGGCTGGAAACATCTGGTTTGTCTTTAAGGAGACTGGTTGGCACAAGGGTGCATCAAGGTTAGCAGGCGGAGCCTCTGAGAAACAGTCCGGCACCTTTACCCAGCAGCCCTACAACCAGGGAAGCTTTGACCAGTCAGGGAGCTACAGCACCCAGGGAAACCTTGGCCAGCTGTCTGAGTATAGCCAGGTGGGAGGGCCCACCTCTTACTCCAATCAAATGTAGCTGCCTTTTCGTTTTGTGAGGGGCACTTCTGCATTTTCAAGCATGGCAATCAGGGGCTGATAAGAAAGGAGGAAAGTGAACGATTAAAGGGTCACTTCTGTATTTTCTAACTGGATTGAAATTGGTCCAGTTTTGAGCTAGTGCGCTGCACTCTGCAGCAGCGAGACAGGGCTATAACGTAATCCTTGCGGGCAGTTGTGCAAGTGTTATTGTGTGACTTTGGTGTTTTAAAGGGTTTAAAAGAACAAAGTCGAACATTAACACAAACTAACCAATTGATGCAGCAGAACACCAGAGAAGTAGAATTTATATTTTTGTCAAGGGAGTCTGGTGGCTGTGATGAGACTGATATAACAACTTACTCTTAAAAACTAGTTCTATCTCTGTATGCATCCTTCCACAATGTTGTCAGACACAATCTGAGCCGGTCAGCGGCAAAAACAAGCACTTTAGCGGATGTACTTTGACTGGGTGCAATTGCCTGAAAGGATTATGTTGCAGCCTTGTCTCACTGCTGTTGACTGCAGATCACTCTTTTAATACTGGACCAATTTCAAAAAATATTGTCCACAATTAGTCACATAGACATAAAAACTTTCATTCTCTGCTCAATTTGTCATCAATTTGTTTGTGTAAAAAAAGATGGTAATAAAAAAGGCATCAAAGGTTTCAAAGTACACTCTTTGTAGATAAAAGTATTGTGTATTGTACAAAATTACTAGATATAGTCTTTTACTCCTTCTCTGTCAGAGGTGTTGTTTGCTGAATGTTGTATTTCTTGTAGTTTGAAACATATAAGTTACAGTTTCTCTCTGCGCTTGGTAATTGACATTCACTGTTACGACTGGATGTCTTTTTAAAACTGGTGTGCACTATCGTGGAAGGAAAAAAGTGCTCTATGTTTGTATAATTCTCAAGTTTCTGAAATGGTGTCAACTAAGTGCATGATGTGGTATGTGTGCTAATATGCTCTCTGTGAAACTATTTTAAAAAACACGCATTATACACTACCGTTCAAAAGTTTGGGGTCACCCAAACAATTTTGTGTTTTCCTGAAAAGTCACACTTATTCACCACCATACGTTGTGAAATGAATAGAAAATGGAGTCAAGACATTGACAAGGTTAGAAATAATGATTTGTATTTGAAATAAGATCTTTTTTACATCAAACTTTGCTTTCGTCAAAGAATCCTCCATTTGCAGCAATTACAGCATTGCAGACCTTTGGCATTCTAGCTGTTAATTTGTTGAGGTAATCTGGAGAAATTGCACCCCACGCTTCCAGAAGCAGCTCCCACAAGTTGGATTGGTTGGATGGGCACTTCTTGCGTACCATACGGTCAAGCTGCTCCCACAACAGCTCAATGGGGTTCAGATCTGGTGACTGCGCTGGCCACTCCATTACCGATAGAATACCAGCTGCCTGCTTCTGCTCTAAATAGTTCTTGCACAATTTGGAGGTGTGTTTAGGGTCATTGTCCTGTTGTAGGATGAAATTGGCTCCAATCAAGCGCTGTCCACTGGGTATGGCATGGCGTTGCAAAATGGAGTGATAGCCTTTCTTATTCAGAATCCCTTTTACCCTGTACAAATCTCCCACCTTACCAGCACCAAAGCAACCCCAGACCATCATATTACCTCCACCATGCTTAACAGATGGCGTCAGGCATTCTTCCAGCATCTTTTCATTTGTTCTGCGTCTCACAAACGTTCTTCTTTGTGATCCAAACACCTCAAACTTGGATTCATCCGTCCACAACACTTTTTTCCAGTCTTCCTCTGTCCAATGTCTGTGTTCTTTTGCCCATCTTAATCTTTTTCTTTTATTGGCCAGTCTCAGATATGGCTTTTTCTTTGCCACTCTGCCCTGAAGCCCAGAATCCCGCAGCCGCCTCTTCACTGTAGATGTTGACACTGGTGTTTTGCGGGTACTATTTAATGAAGATGCCAGTTGGGGACCTGTGAGGCGTCTGTTTCTCAAACTAGAGACTCTAATGTACTTATCTTCTTGCTCAGTTGTGCAACGCGGCCTCCCACTTCTTTTTCTACTCTGGTTAGAGCCTGTTTGTGCTGTCCTCTGAAGGGAGTAGTACACACCGTTGTAGGAAATCTTCAATTTCTTAGCAATGTCTCGCATGGAATAGCCTTCATTTCTAAGAACAAGAATAGACTGTCGAGTTTCAGATGAAAGTTCTGTTTTTCTGGCCATTTTGAGCGTTTAATTGACCCCACAAATGTGATACTCCAGAAACTCAATCTGCTCAAAGGAAGGTCAGTTTTGTAGCTTCTGTAACGACCTAAACTGTTTTCAGATGTGTGAACATGATTGCACAAGGGTTTTCTAATCATCAATTAGCCTTCTGAGCCAATGAGCAAACACATTGTACCATTAGAACACTGGAGTGATAGTTGCTGGAAATGGGCCTCTATACACCTATGTAGATATTGCACCAAAAACCAGACATTTGCAGCTAGAATAGTCATTTACCACATTAGCAATGTATAGAGTGTATTTCTTCAAAGTTAAGACTAGTTTAAAGTTATCTTCATTGAAAAGTACAGTGCTTTTCCTTCAAAAATAAGGACATTTCAATGTGACCCCAAACTTTTGAACGGTAGTGTATCTCTGAAAGTTTACAAACTTCACACTGCCCTGACTCATTACTGAAAGTTTATTTAGTACAGTATTATTACATGTGCATTATTTTTTAATCTAATAGGAACTATATTTTGATAATGGGTATTTGTAATTCAGGTACGGATTCACAATATAATTTAACTTAATTTCTGTATTATAATCGTTTGTACAAATACATTCCAACTCATGACTGACATTGATCATGTCAGAAAGTCTAAAAATGTAAAGCAATAACTACAAACTGCAAATTATACTATAGGGGTTTTGTGCAAGAAAAAAGTACAGGATTGCAATCATTGCAGCATGTTGTTTCTGTCTCTATGGTGTTCACCTTCATCTGCACAGACAATATTACTTTGTCATTTTATTTGATTAATGTAAAGAGGGAGATGTCCCTCATTGTTTACAAGTGGCCGCTCCTGCTACAAATTACTGTGACTCTTTTCTATGCTATCCTCAGACTACTGAGACATAATAAACATAAGTTATACCTCTCTAAAGCATGTTTAGAGAATCAATTTTCACTGCTAAAGCCCAGCAAAAAAGCACATCATTATTATTATGATTATGATACAGTGATAATGGACTATTAGTGAATAGTGGGCTCATCTAAACATAATATTGAACTTTTGTTCATTTTAAAATCACAATTCAGGTTTACACAACTCTAAAAAATCTGTGCAATTCATGTATAGTAATATTCAAAGGTTAATGCCTGGTTGCTGTTTGTTTACATTAATATGACTTGTGCAACCCTTTTTCTTGACCTCCTAAGCATGTGGCTTGCATCAGTATAATACAGCAGATTGAACACCCATGTATGTATAATAAACTGACATCCATGATAAATGTGTGTGGGTCTACATGAAATTAGTTCATTGTGTGAAAGTTTAACAGGCATTCATGCTAATAAAGATGCACATATTTGCTCATAAATAACATGTTCTCTCTGTGTTTGCTTAGATCGCTTTATCTGATCTGTGTGAAAACGTACACGTAGCAGTGACAAATGACTTGGTTTCTCCAAGATGTTGCATTAGATTGTATACCTGACTTTTGACCTGATTTCCACAGAAACAGGGCTAGTCTGTGACGGATGTTTCCAGAAAATAAAACGACCAACTGGTGAATCAGTTGTGGGAGTGAATTGTTCGGGAATTGAGCAGCTTCTAAATCTATCAAATAATGTGCTTGGCAGCCTCAGTTCTCCAGTAGACATCATTACTAGGGGCAGTCTCACCACATGTAATAAAATCACCGTCAAGCAAGAGCTTCTGCGTACGTAATCATCACTGCCACACAGGTAAACTGAACTAAACTGTCCACTGACAGACACTCTATATAGAGGGACATAGGTCCAAAGATACACAAAGAACTGCGTAAATATATGATCGCAGTTATTATGATTAGTGGTAGTAACAGTGGTATACTGTGCAAAATAACTGCCTAGAGGAAAATGACTGCAATAATGAGACCATCTTGTGGCTGCACTGCAACTATACCATGGCACTGACCATTTCCATATTGGAAAGTGACTCTTTTTACATACTGTACATATACAAGATGTATATATCCCTGCCAAACAGTACAAGGTTTGGACTGGTTGGCAGGATTTTGTCTGATCATGACCAACATCTGTGATACTAGAGATTAAGGTGACATTAGTCAAAGGGTTGTTAGTGGAAATGGTGTTTTTTGTAGTGACTGAAATTTAATCAAATCTAGATTAACAAGACAGTGACCAAATCCATATGTGATTACCTTTTAAAAATAATCTACTAATGTAAAACTAAAAATGCATGACTTTTCAATGTTAAAAGCATGTAACGTTAACCCCAGTAGCTAAGCTAAAAGTATTTAGCAGCAGCCTTCACTCCCTGTTTTGATGACTTTACTGTCTTGCCTGTTGTCACTTCAATAAATTCATACGCAGGAATATTTAGCCAAAACAAAGTGACTAAGTATGTGGTCAATTTTAAGTTGTTTTACCATGTAAAAATTCTTTATGCCACAAAATTGTTCAATTTCTGTGAAACTGTCTGTGAGCCAAAGAAACTGCCTCAGCTACCTTATAAGCTAGGCTAAAAATTACAAACTAACGTTACATAACTAATATCCCCTAGCTTATACTGAAAACTTACATACATTTATTTTGATGACAGTTAGTATTCAACATATCAAAAAGAGATAAAAAGGCAAATCCACTTATAATGGAGGAAAAAACTGTTAGCCCGACTCCTAAAGCTTGCGTGACTAGCTTAAGAAACTTCTGACTAGATCATTTGGATTGTTAAACTACCTTATAAAGAAATATTTAACTACAAATTAATGTATTATGTAGAAGGTATAGTAGGAGCAGTTTGCTTTGTTATGATACTGTCTGCAACACAGCAGGCCAAGTGAATAAGAACAGCCTTTACGCACGTTTACCATTCGTTTAAAACTTTGTCAGAGTTTTGTATGTCACCAGAGAACACCTAGCCCCAGACAGGGTGGGGAGCTTCATGGTGGCCAGCAGGAGGCGCCAGCAGCCTGTCTGGCCGCTTTTAAACACACCAGTAAAACCTCTCACAACAAGGAAGTCACATATAACGGGATGTGTCGGTCTGTCCGAGCAGCATCCGAGCAGACATGGCCTCTCTACAATACCTAAACGCGTTCATTTCTGAGCGGCTGACAGCGGCGGCTGTGGAGATCTTCGGGGCGGTGGAGAAAACGCTGACAGAGTACCAGGGAGAGATCAGACGGTCCAAGCAGGAGATAGACCACCTGCGGACACTGGTGCTCTGGCCTGAAGTCAAATTACACAGATCAGGTGTGTGGATGAAACACATCAATGACAAGGTCTAGACTCGTTATTTGTTTTGTTTGTTAATTGATGGAGTTTTGCAGCGAACATGATGAGGCTGCAGCCCACTTCAGTTTTTATGATAGCGTCTTATGGCTCAGTGCAAAATTAGCCTCATGAGGATGTTCTATAGATACATTTACAGCAGCACCGAGATCCTCTCAGTGGCAGCCAGTGGCAGGCTATCGGCACTCATTAGGCAGTTAATATAAGAGTTTAGTTTTGTTTAATTACAACCGCCAAGGCGTTTATAATTTCGCCAATTTAGAAATAAAAAGGAACCAAAATACACTTGTTACTGTTACAAGTTTACATTTTTATTTACTTTTCAATGGTTTGTGTTAGTTTTTCACTTTTCCATAACATCTCAGCAGCAGCAAAGGACTTTACATAGTTAGATGGTGTAAATATTCAAATATTTATAAGCCACAGATCATCACTAGCTTCTAGAGGGTGCCACTAGCTGTCAGACACTAACAATTCACACCTGGTAGTAGCAGATTTGTTATCCGGATCGTTTATTGTCTGGAGTATGTATCCGTATACAGATCGCATTTTACTACTGGGTGTACATTGGGTGTCCCGGGCAGCTTGTGGTAACCTGTGGCATCTGCTGGCATCCGGTGGCACTTAATGTGTCTTTAAATGTACATGGTTCAGATGACATTGGCACATATGACCTTTAAAAGTAAAACACAATGTCTACATGAGATGTTTTTAGACTTAAATGTGAATTTAAAGTAAGCTTTTTATCTCCAGTCTCACCCCTCATTCATTCAGCAGCTCATCAGGTCAGCTCTCATTGCTGTGATAAGGAGGCTTGTCCTAAGTGCGAGGAGGAGCGGGCCCCAGATGTGAGCCCCGATCACCCGAGCACCCTGCATATTAAAGAGGAGCATGACCAAAGGGCTGAGGAGCGAGGACCGTCCTGTAGGCAGCAGGGTGTCGCCACAGTGTCTCCTCAGGGTCACAAGGAGCCGCCCTCTCACCTCTACAGAATATTAACTGTTGAAAAGACAGCAAATATCAAAGATGAGCCTGATGGTGATGAGTTCATAATCTCTCCATCAACCAGGCAGGCTGAGATGCCCTGTGGAGTAAATCCAGAGTCTTCTGGACTTCAGCGACAGACCCTGTTAGGTGAGGATAGGACACTATATCCAGCAGACGCTATAGCAGAATTACAGCTAAAATGTATGTTTTTATTAATATATGCTCTTTGTACTGGAGTGTGGTGAAACGTGAAGAAAGGTGCGTTTGCGGTGGCTGGAGAGATGCTTTGTAAGCTGAGAAGTGTTGACTGGATTTGTCAGTTTGCCCCTGCCCATTTGACAATGCAAAAACTGCATCACAATAAATCATATTTTCATATTATAATATATATTTCTAGTCATTTTACCTGGTCAGTTGATGAAGTTTTCACTGCTTGACATCAACAGCAGAGTGAAACAACTTTCCAAATGCAACACAAGATGTTCATCTTTGCTTTAGTCTGAGTATGCTGATGGAAAGAATCTTATTTTTCTCCAGAGGGAATGGACATTAAATAAGATGTAAGAACAATAGCAAGTAACAAAAGGTGAAAGAGGTCATAGTTGTAAGCATATGTGTGTATTTGTCATTTTGCAATCTAAACTCAAGAAGATAATGACAAGACAAGAGGTATTTGCCAAATTATTTCACCCCTTTGTCCCTCTAGATCCGCTTGAGATCACTCAACATGAGCAGGAGGGGCCTGATGAGCAGCAGTACACTAGACAAGACTGGAGAACCTGTCAGAACAACAAGGACCCCGACCCTCCTCAAATCAAAGTGGAAAAATTTACATCATTGAGTCCTCGGAAAGAGGCTGACCTCAACTACGAATTCCCTCTTCAGTCAGAAAGGAGTGTTTATGATGAGCCTCATTCTTCAAGCTCCAGCCACAAGCAGACTCTGACCAGCAAAACATTTTACACAGCAGAGGAAAAGAGGAGAGATGCTGAAGCAGTAGGCTGCCAACAGTCCAGGCTCACCAGAGTTTCTCAGCCCTTCTACTCTGTAAATCAAAGTGAATACGGCAAGAATACAGAATGTGTGGTGAATGGACAGTGGATGAAGGCACTGACACTAACGGGAACGAGGCAAAACTCAGACTTGTGTGGCGAAGAAAGGGAAAGTTTTGGGGTGGAGGAAGATGTGAACAATCTCACCAGGGAGAGAAGACACACTTGTCCCATCTGTGCGAAACGTTTTAAAGAGTCAAGTCATTTGAAGGACCATGTGAGGATCCACACAGGAGAGAAGCCGTACCAGTGTAAGGAATGTGGCGTGAACTTCAGACAGAGTGGAGCTTTGACTTTGCACATGAGAATCCACACAGGGGAAAGACCATACCAGTGCACCGACTGCGGCCGGCGCTTCAATCGAAAAGGCGACATGGAGACTCACAGGGTGACGCATACTGGGGAAAGACCCCACCTGTGCGTGGTGTGCGGGAAAAGCTTCAAAAGGAAGAGCAACTTAAACACACATCTGAAGATCCACGCAGAGGACAAAGTGTATTACACTCAAACGTTGTGATTGTTTAAACACAGATAATGGATTTTTGATTTCCATGAGCTGTAAGCCATGATCATCAAGATTAAAACAAAAAAAGGCCTGAAATATTTCACTTCATGTGTAATGAATCTAGAATATATAAATGTTTCACTTTTTGACTGAAATTATGGGAATAAATTATCTTTTCCATATTCTAGTTTTCTCAGATGCACGTCTGAAAAAACATGGACTGTCACAGAGACTAAATTAGTGTGTTGACTGGAGTGTATTTCTTAATGCATTTCTAAACATTTCTAAACTAACAAAAATTAGCATTTGCATCATCAACAGCAAAGCAAATTTGAGATTTGTTTTTGTGCTTTCAACCTGATGGAGAGAAACATCAAAGAAACATTGTATGAGACAATGTAAACATTGGTTGTGCTATTTAATTTCCTCGCTTGATCTAGACATGCAAGTTGTGCAAGCTAGGCAATACTCATTAAATTGTGTTTTGGGTGTATTGACATTCCATTTTCTGTTTATTTCAATTGAGGGTGATGGCTGGAGTTTTGATATTGCCTACATGACTGCTGTAGAATATTATGTACCACAGACCTGTTTTGACTCCACATCATTCTCAAGTCACAACACAAGGCTTCACAGAGGGCAGTCACCATGGGAGCAGCAGTTACTAAAGTATATAAATCCATTTATATTTTTATGAGCTGATAAAAGCAGGTTACCTGCTGATATTTGCATTCCCACCTTTCTCAGACCAAGTAATGTTAACGTGTGTTCACAAAACTGAAGTATTTGTTACATGAGGAATTACACTCAGCGGCCACTTTCTTAAGTACACTTTGCTAGTACCGGGTCGGACCCCGCTTTGCCTTCAGAGCTATAATTCTTTGTGGCTTTCAACAAGGTGCTGGAAACATTCCTCAGAGACTTTGGTCCATATTGACATGACAGCATCACGTAGTTGCTGCAGATTTGTCAGCTGCACATCAATGATGTGAATCTCCCGTTCCACCACATCCCAACGGTGCTCTATTGGATTGAGATCTGGTGACTGTGGAGGCCATTGGCGTACAGTGAACTCATTGTCATGTTCAAGAAACCCGTTTGAGATGATTTGTGCTTTGTGACATGGTGCATTATCCTGCTGGAAGTAGCCATCAGAAGATGGTACACTGTGGTCATAAAGGGACGGACATGGTCAGCAACAATACTCTCGTAGGCTGTCGCTTTTAAACAATGCTTAATTGGTACTAAGGGGCCCAAAGTGTGCAAGAAAATATGCTCTACAGCATAAAGCCACCATCACCGGCAGCCTGAACCGTTGATCCAAGGCAGGATGGATCCATGCTGTCATGTTGTTTACGCCAAATTCTGACCATCTGAATGTCGCAGCTGAAATCCAGATTCATTAGACCAGGCAACGTTTTTCCAATCTTCTATTGTCCAATGTTGGTGAGCCTGTGTGAACTGTAGCCTCAGTTTCCTGTTCTTAGCTGACAGGATTGGCCCCCGGTGTGGTCTTCTGCTGCTGTAGCCTATCTGCTTCAAGGTTCGACGTGTTGTGCGTTCAACATCAATGGTATTCTGCATACCTTGGTTGTAACGAGTGGTTATTTGAGTTACTGTTGCCTTTCTGTCATCTCGACCCAGTCTGCCCATTCTCCTCTGACCTCTGACATCAACAAGGCATTTTCGACTACACACTGCAGCTTACTAAATATTTTCTCTTTCTCTCAGCCTAAAATATGAGCTGATAAAAGTGTTTGATCCTCCAGTGTCTGAAAACAAACTTAAGAGGTGGATGCATATTTGGCAATGCTGATTGTGTCCCTGCCGATATTTGCATCCCCTCTTTTCTCAGATCAGGTGAGTGTTGTATATGTATAAAAGTCAAGGCTGTCTAAAATGTGCACTCTTAAAACTATTTGACTCCTAGGTCTCAAGAGACAGAGTTAAGGGGTGGACACATTACAGCCTGTCACGAAATTAGGGTTCTTTACTAAGAAATTATATTTACTTAATTATTCAGTAAAACCATTCGGATTTTGTGAATATTATTGTTAATTGCTCATCAAACAACAGCAACATCAATAAATGAAGTGCTACATGATGTGGCATGACGTTACAGCTGTATAGACATTATTTTACTTTACTGTTATCTTGCATTTTGCAAAAAACTATTTACTGAAAGTATGACCACTGACAAATAACAAGAAAATGTAAGATCGCTGTTTCTGCCCACCCGTCCAAGTTCACAAAGGCGTAGTGAGGTGTCACTCAGGTGAGGATCAAGGCTCCTTTCCTCATGGTCTTGTTATCATAACACTGTTAGCAGTAAAGTGTTTTCCACCATGGCAGTAAAATGGGAAGTTTAGCTGGTGGATCTAAACTTCCATGCTGTACCGTTTATTTCCAATAATAATCAGCTGATTGTCTCAGGAACGTAAAAATGACACATTTCTGTCCACGTTGCAAAGCCAAGACACAGTTGGAGAACAAAGTTAAAAATTACAATGCAACTACATATTTTTTTCTTCCAGGGCAGTAAAAGTTTAGCTGGCTTATCTGAGCATCTATGCTGTAGGCTACTGTAGGCTACCAGGCTATTGCCATTTAATCAGCTGATTGTCTCACCAGCGTAACAGACACATTTCTGTCGAAAGCCAAAACACACACTGAAGAATAATGTTAATGAAATTGCAATCCAACTATATATTTCATAACAATGGCAGGGGAAACTCTTACTTCTATCGGTGATTATGGCCATATTCTAACTAAAGCTATCAAACAACAGTTTTTATTAGCATCCCTAAAGGTGGACTAACTTAATTACCTGTCCAGGTAATTCGCCAAGAAACAAGGGTTGACTCAACTTCCCCACAGGCTCTAATTACCCCGCTTTCCTCGACAGACTTGGCCCACAGACAGGGCCCTTATTGTCCAATAAGTCCATCGTGTTTCCTTCTCTTAAAATTAAACTCCACATTGGCTGGGGATGGGCTTAGCCTATTCAAACTTAACTATTTGCCTTAAATATACGCTGTCTGACTTGGCAAAAAGAATCCTGCATATCCTGGCTGAATATCCTACTGTGAAAAACATCATGTTGGACATAGGGACCAATGATGTTGTGAAGCAATGGTCTGAAGTGTTGAAAGAGGACTTTAATAATCTGAGGTGCATGCACGTGCAGAGGGGGGTGCAATGGGTGCATGAGCACCTGCCCTTTTGCCCTTTGATGCCCAAAGTGCCCTTTTGTCAATGACAAATTTAATTAATTAATTAATTAATTTTTAAATTTGTAAAGGTCCTTTTGTGAAGGCCTGCCGAATCAAACTATTAGTAAAGTCAATTAGTCCTCCCAGTTCTCCCTTGCCTCCTCTCTTCCTCGACCCCCAGTGTTCCCCGGCTCTCTGGTCTCAGTCTCCTCTGTTCCCCGTGCCTGCGTTTCCCCGGAATCCAACTCTCCCAACCCCATTTTTCCCCCAAATAAAACCTGTTAATCCCCAGAGTTGCGTTTGGGTCCACTCTTTCCCCACACTTCACAACACCCTCCCGTTCACACACCGTTAGTGATTCAGCATCTCTGACTACAGGACGCCTGCGATCCCGCCAGTAAGAGGGGTTTGCTTGTTGTGGGTTGTTGGATGTATTTTACAAAGACGCAAAGAGCAGCACAGTAGTTGTATATTGCTGTTGTGTCGCCTGTAGAAGTAACTTTGGCCACCGACTAACACTGTGCCGACAGCTAACGTTGCTTGTGCACACAGATAAACAAAGGTGCTCTGTTGACTTCGTTCTTGCTGTTTAAGGGAGAAGTTTCACGTACGTCGTGAGGTATTGTGTTTTTTTATGTAATTTGACTAAAAACCTTTCACTTGAACTAGGATTATTACAGTAACTTAATAAAAAACATAGTGTGCCTTAAAATAATTATAACAACATTGGTAAAACAGGTTTATTACTTATTCCTATCAGCCCTTTTTAACACGATCATTTAAATCAGAACAGATTTAATAAACCTATTATATGAACTAAATAACTGGAAATACATGTAATAATGTCAGTGTCAATATAAAATAAATAGTATTCCTGACATCAAGGTAAAGAATGAAGAAGAAATGGCCCTATATAGATTTCAGACAAAGGTATGAAATATTAATGTGAAAGGTAAATGCTGCTCTGTCATGGTTATTATGGGCCAACAGAATGCGTGTGTGCACATCTTTTTACATTTATGACTAGACATGTAGTCAATCAAAATCTAAATATATCTCAGATTCACAATGCAATATAGAAAATCATTATCACAATATTGCCTATACACACACACACACCTGTCCAGATTATTTCCCACACTTTTTTGAACCTGGTATCTTATTTCCTCTACCTGCAGCTCTCGATGTGCAGCAGTCTCTGTGAGCATCTCCTTCTTATTTTCTCATAGTAGCCAGCTTTCGCAGCGGCTGCAGCACTACAGCAGGTCAGTCATAGTAAGCCAGTCCCAAATACTGTCAGCAATCTTTACATCTTGCCATGGTCACATTTGTTTCATCATATCTCCCATGTTTGTTAAAATATCTCTAGTCACAGATCACCTCCAGTAGTATCAGCAGCAACAAAAGCAGCAGCATCCCCAGCAACCCCTCAACAGCAACTGTTCCCTGTAAGTTATGTCAGTGTTTTAAAGGTAGATCTGGGTATTCCCTGTTTTCTTTTTCAAAAGTCTGTCACAGCATTTGTTGATGTATCAATACAGAAGCATCTGTATATGCATATAATCAAGGAATACATAACAATACATTTCTGTCAATATTTTGAGAACAGCCCTATTTAAATCCTTGTTCCATGTGCCCCTTTTATACTTTGAGCACCAAAGGTCTCTGCACGGCCCTGCTGAGGTGTTTATCAGTGGCCCGAAGAGGAGCTGAGAGATTCAGCAGATTGATGGCATTGAACACGTGGCTCTCAACGGCATGTACTGTCCACTCAGTGCATTTCATCAAAAATGTTTACTTTCTGTGGGACCGCAGGCATCTTTTTAAGGCAGATGGACTTCGCCTTAACAAGTCAGGAGTAAAATTGTTCAGCTCCAACCTGTTTTACTTTCTGCGTCACTCATCTGCTCCCTCTCCCAAGGACAAGAGACAAGAGGAATCTAAACAAGAAGACGTAACACAACACACCAGAAACCTTGAAGGAGAGCCACCTCAGCCCCCGCTGGAAGAGAGCTCTGATCACGGGAGACATCTGAGCCAAGAGGTAGAGTCTCCACCTCCCTCAAAAGTGAGGATTCACCATCCTTACCCCCCAAATCCCCATCTAGGTCACCCTTATCTCCAGACACCCTTTCTCCCTCCTCCCCCCTGTTGGAGTTCACTAATCACATGAACGAGCTGGTTGGTGCTGGGACCAAATTTGCTCCCCGCACCTTCCCTCGCTCTTCTCCCATTTTCTCTACCATAAACTGCCCTCACCGTCCACCTCCACCACTGGCTCTAAGTC